AAAATTTCTCTCATTCTTGAACATGCTTTAACATTATCGAGATCGAATTTAAATAGAAATGGAAGAAAGAAAGAAAGAAAGAAAGAAAATACGAACGATTGCATTGTATTTCCATTCCCCTTTTTATAGATATATCTCTCTGTTGTATTATATGTATTTATTATATAGTCGAGGAAAAAGAAAATCTACTTTGTCCATTATAATCCATTATTCTTTTGCAATTTAAATATAACCTTAAAAATGCGTTGTTTGTTTGTACGTTGTTGTTTCCATCCACGACACGATGGATTACTTACTTACTGTGTTCATCATTATCACGTATTCTGTCACCATTCCAGCGTTAAGAGATTGAAACAAAGTGTGCAAAGAATATAAATATAAAAAGAGGAAAAACAATCGGCGAAATCATCGTGAATTTGATTGACAATATATATATATATAAAGACTACAAGTACAGATTTGATAATCGCAAAAAGATATTAATTAACATTCAGCGTAACTACTTAAGCCAAACTGAATAATTCAAATTTCTTTCAATTTTGTTTGAATGATGAATTCCTTCTGATAAAATTGGATAATAAAGTTGAGATCAGTCAGAATCTCACGTAGCTTCATGTGTCGTGGTATGTTTCTTATATTGAAAAAAATAATGTTCTTACAAACTATATATACACGTGTATATATATATATATAGTAGATATTATTTTATATTATCTTGCTTCGTGTGCAACGTGTGCCACCAGTACGTTAGAGAAATGAATATACATTTGACCGGTTGATATAATTACACTTGATCGCAATGCACTGCCACCATATATATATACATACATATCACAGCCTAGCCCGCGTTATGTATATCACCGCACGCCAATCATTCTCTTCTTTTCGTGCGAATGTTTTTTTCTCTTCTCTTCTCTTCTCTTCTTTTCTCTCTCTTTTTTTTCTCTCTCTCTTTTTGTTGTCACATTTTTTTGTTTACCGTCCTCGTCCGAACGCCTCCCTTAGAACTTAGTCAGATGTCAGACGATCGCACGGCGACGAACACCACCACCACCACCAACAATAACAACAACAACAACAACAACAACCGGCGCTCCGAGGCTGAGGAGCAACTCCTGCTCAAAGAGTGGGATTTCACCCGTTTCTTCCAAGGTTTTAACGAACGATTGGACAAAATGAAACAGCAAGAATCGTCGCAAGAGTCGTCCTCGTCGAGCGCAGAGGCGAACAACAAGCCCCCCTCCTCGGTTAACGAGAATCACCTCTCCTCCTCCTCGTCCGCGGAGAAAACGTTAAAAAGGCAGGAGCAATTGTCGTCCCGCAGAAAGTACGATAATCAGCAACAGCATCACCAAAAGCATCATCAGCAGCAACAGCAGTTGAAAGCGGTGCACAGACGGCAGGAGAGCGACTCGAAGCTTGGCAACACGTCGAGCGCCTTTGCGCGCGCGTTCCGCCGTGAGAATTCCGACTTTTTCCCATCCGCGAGGCACTCTGCATACTTGCAGAAGTCGGACTCCTCGAGATCGAGCATATTCTCGAGCGGTAACAGGCGTGGCAGCGAGATAAGCGTTGCCGGTATCGCCGGGAAAAAGGGGAGCGCTGTGAGCGCCGGTGAACCGGTCCTTACAGACTTCTCGTTCGGTCGTTCAGATGGCGTTCAGAGGCCTAGAAGGGAGAAAACCGAGAGCGAGATCGTTTTTGGTAGTAGGCACGAGGCAAGAAGGCTCGACTTTGGACGCGATAAAGATGACACCGCGAGGAGGCGATGTTGTAGGCCATCGGATGCGGTTTCCGCCGCGGTTGACGAAGCGGGAACGATTAAATCTACGGCCAGTACAACGGCTAGCGAGTACAGCCCCATTGTCACCCAGGTCAGTCCCCCCTATCAGCCCTGCCTGTGTGCTTGCCTGACAGATATATATATATATATATCTATATATATATATATATTATATACCTATTTGCATCACCAACTTTTATTCTCTACCTTCGATTTTATTCTCTCTCGCCCATCGCGTACCAACCTCGACATCCCCGTGTTATCCCCCCCCTCCCCTCCCCCAACGATCATCATCTCCCTTGCCACAAGTGTCTGTCGATGTTTTTTCCGGAAGAATAATTTTTTTTGTATGTCGAAAGTGACGATAATTTTTTCTCTTTTTCTTTCTCCCTCTCTGTTTTTGTTCAAGAGTGTACGTTTGTATTCGAGAGCGCTAAGTAGAGTAATTGTAAACAGAGTTCCGTTGAGACTGGTTTCACGCTCAATGTAATGGTAAAAAAATTAATTTTAAAATATATTTGCATTTTGATGAATTTTTTTTTCCTTTTTTGTGAACTAGTTTGGTTTTCGAATTATTTTTGGAACGTGAGATCGACAGGCATATTTTACCATCGAACCTATCCTACCTATCCTTTTCTTTTCCAAATAATCTAACGGCATATTATTACAAAAATCGATATAGAAAGCTAGTCAGCTACGCTCGAATTCTAGGCGCATTTTCCTCTACTACCTTTCCTGTTTTTTTTTTTTTTTTTTTTTTTTATTTATTATTTCTACAGATTTACAGATACTCTCAGTAGGAAACAACTATTAGCGCTATCAGTATTACTCTGTTACCAGTATTACTCTCCTACTATTTTTACTAGATTACTCATTCGAACAAGGTCGCACAAAGCTTTATATAGAGGAACGTTAGAGAATTTGAATAATTTATATTTATCCTGGTACAATGGAATTAACAATATATTCATATTAATTATAGTGTTTTAATATCGTTGTAATAATTCTAACATAGTGAAGGAAATCCATTTTCATGTTATTAACGAAACTTATCTTTTTCGCTTTTTGTTTTGTTTTTCGTACACGATAATTTTTTTCTTCGTATTACGACACTTTTCATTATGCGTTATTTAAACGCATTAACCATTTCGAGATTTCTTCGATTGATTTTATTCTGTCACATCATCCATTGTTACATAAATTATATTTTAATTCAACAAATTTATTTTTCAATAAATAAGATAAAGAGGTGTTGTAAAAAGATTTTCCAACGAAAAATATAAAATAATATTATAATTGTAAAAGATTAAATTCAAAAGAAGGGTTAAGAATTCAAAAAATTTTATTTTTCATAATTTTAATGATACTTTTATAGTTACTTTTATGCTATTATTATTGTTATTACCATTATTAATTAACAGTACTAACACTATTATTAACAATATCGCTATATTTTTTGTCTAACAATACTACTTATACTTATAATAATGTTATTCTTATTAATATCATTTTAACGGTTTATTACCGTTGTCAACTTTAATTTCCAATCACAAAAGTACTAATGATATTTAATGAAATTATACATACAATGTTTCACTAACTTCATTAAAAAAAATCTTTAAAAATATTTGGAAAAATATCGGAGAAATTTTATGAAGAATAGAATTTTAATTTTAATTAAATTCTGTGTATTATGTGTATATTATACAAAAATATTTAATTCATATATTATTAAAATATTATTATTAAAGTAAACGATACAAAAGTAGAAAGAAAAATCAAAAGAAAAATAGAAGAAAAAAAAAGAGAAAAAGGAAAAACGCAATGGTTAATATATGCACATATCAATATAGAAGTTAGTAAAACGTCATGTAAATACATACTTTTCAAACAAAAATATTAATTTATTTCCCCGTAAAATATTCAATGCGAAATAATATTTTTCCATTCAAAAATATTATTTCGTATTTATATTGTAAATAATATTGTTCATTGATTTTTAACAAGGACCAGAATTCGTTATTGGATGTAGGAAAACATGTGAAAAGAGGAATGGCTTCAATTTTCAGGAATTCTAATACTACTATTAACATAGAGCGCGCTATTTTTAGTATCGTCAATGTCATCCACTAACATTACCATCATCGGATAAGTCATCGTCATCATCACTATTGCCACTGCTACTATCGCTCCGTTTCTTTTGGAACTAATCCTTTCCTTCCTTTCGAGTGATCTACGAATATTTAATGCAATGCAGAAAATACGAAATCGTATTGCTACAACGATATCTATCGTTATATTTTCGAATTCCATTGGCTGAGAGAGAGAGAGAAGGATTAACCGCATGGAATTTCTTTGAGGATATATTCGTCTTGTTTCTACATTACCAACGTGTGAAGGGAAACTGCTAATATTCCTACGATCGTCGCAGCGAAACGTCGCGGGATTCTGAAAAGAAAAAAAAAAAAAAAAAAGAATAAGAGCAAGTTAAAAAAATATTTGTGAAAGTATTTCTACCGTACGTCTACGTCATTTTCATTATTTTCACGTCACGCACGTCTACGTATAGGTTCAACGTTAATTTCACGTCACTCTTTCATTTTTCTTCTTTTTTCATCTTCGACTCTTTTCGTTAAGTTGTAACAAGGCAACACGGTAATTGTTATCGATCAAAATGTTTCTACAATTTTTACAACATATTTTAATTCTGATACAAATATACATTAGGTGATACATAATTGTCAAATTATAATATTAAATTTGAAGATTTTTTTATACGTAAGAGATATTTGTTTGTATGAAATTAATGACGATTGATTTTTAGGTTAAATGTTGTTTTATTCGCATCTCATTCGAGTCAATTCGTATGAAATTAATTGATAGTTTTCTCGGTACACAGGGTGAATAAAAGTGTTGCTCTGGAATCTATACGATCGATCGTTCGAATTTGTCATTATTTAAAAATTTATCATTTATATTTTATATATATCCTTGTGAAAATCTTACGAGGATATAGCGATCAAGTGTTGTTCTGTTACTTTCTTGCATGTACGATTCTAGTTAATGAATGAAAATTTTTCGATAATTTGTGTTTCTTTTTCTTTTTTTTTTTTCTTTAATTTATTTTTATAATATAACATGTCAATTATTCAAAAATGTAATGCATGTATACTCAAGCTTTTCAATTCGAAACAAGTTTCTTAAACAAACGAACAGAGCGATACTAATTGTTATGTGAATATTCTCTTAAATATAAAGATTATTCTCTTTATATCTATAGAAAAAATAAATGGGAAGAAAGGATGGGAATGGAAACCATTAATTCAGTGCTGTCCATTGAAGGTACATTAAGTAGAGGTATTTATTTATATATTTCATAGTTACGTACGTAGAGTGACGGTGATATGCTTCGTAGTTCAAGAAATGAAAATGGCTTATTTATTTCCGAGATTATTTATTTTTTTTAGGATTTCTAGATCTCACAAAATTTATGATTTGGATCTAAACATCAAATTTCAATGCAACTTTCGAAAAAAAAAAAAAAATGACGAGGATAACGATCTCGATATTATTATAAAATTTTGAACATTTTTTCACGAAATAATTGTACTTTTTTTTTTTATATTTAATTTGATACAAATTTCTTTACTTGACAAATTTTTCTCGATCAATATAACATAATAAAATTTGAAATTATAAACTTATATAAATTAGACACGTAACCAATGTTTTAATTTCTTTCAAGATAATTTTCTGATGAGTGAAATTTGGACAGCACTGCGTTAATCATTGATGTAAATTCTAATAGGTTTATTCCGTTACAACAATATCTTACAATTATCTGAAAAACGTAAAAAATTGTGATTATTATAAAAGAAAATTCATCTACAAGTAAAAAAATGGGAAATATTATGTGCAAATATGTGTGTGTATGTTAACGAAGAAAGAAATTTCAAAGAGTATATAAATTGCTGTGTTGCGTGTGTGCGTGTACACGCCTTTGTGTTACATGTCAGATGCATAAATGTATATTTAGCTTGCAAAGATTTTTGTGGTAGTATTCAACACAAAATCATGATTGAGACTTTATTGTCTTGCATGATGCTTAATTTCATTTGATACATGTGATAATATATATATGTTTTTTGTATTGCTATATCGCAGCATATGCCAAGCATGCTTTTATTTTTTTATTTTTTTTTTTTTTTTCAATTCAATGTGTTTTTTGGGCATGGTATGAAATTGTGTTTTCGATTAATGTTAATTTTATAAAAATCTCTTTATCATATAAAGCAGGAAATTGACAATTTTTTTGTGTGCTTTTGCTAGACACTTGACGCTAGAATTATTTGTTATGTGTTCGCCATACGATCTCTGATTTTAATCAAATTACACGTGTAATCGATTTTATTAATAATTCATATTATGGTAATTATACACACGAAAAAATTAAACGAAGAACTCGTTGTACTATTTATTGTCAATTTTCAAACGTACTCTTAGTTATTTATGCGTGTTTCATCTCACCAAACGAGTATTTTTTGCGATCAAGTTTAACTTTACTATATATCTCCTCGAATTTTAGCTGTACACGTAACTGTATATTAGCATTGTCATTCTTCCCTAGTTTGTGTATTGTGCTGGAAAATAAAGTATATACGGTGACAGTAAGATGTGTAATATCTTAAGTAATGTGTATTATATTGCGTTAAAGGATGATATACATATATATTTAGTTTGAAATAATTAAAACTATGAATGCAATAATTACAAACTCGAAAATATCAATGTACAACAATTTCGTGGCAAAATATTATATATCACTTTGTTGCACGCTTTTTGCTAATGTTACGAATATACGTACAAAAATCACCCTCAAAATTGCTTATCCCCTGCTTCCATTTATTATCTTAGAAAGTGTGTACTTTTATATGTTTGTTTGTTTGTTTGTTTGTTTGTTTGTTTGTTTGTTTTTTTTCTTTTTATATACAGTAGACGAATGAAAACGAACAATTTTATTACGAATTTATTGTTCATGAATTAGCGTGCATGAATTTCATTTAGATTTCGAGTAATATTTTACGTTTAACAAGGGAAAAATATAAAACTCACGTGTGTTAAATTTTGATAAAATTTACGTGAAAAATAATTCTCAAAAAAATAATCGATAATCCTATATTTTTTATCAATTCTCATTCGCGTCGAAGGAATTGAAAACAATCCTTAAAATTTGAAGTTGGAAAAATATTACAGCCGATAATAAAAAATACGTGTCAAATTATTTTTTTAAGAATTATTTTTCATATAAATTTTATCATAATATGCGAGTTGGATATTTTCTCTTGCAATTATAGAATATATAAAATATTTTTTTTATCATTAATTGTACGAGTTCTACGAAACTCGAATAATTTATTATTCATTTTTTATATTTATAGATATTTTTCATAGATTTTCAGCAGACTATATAGACTTGTTGAATTAATTAAGTTACTTTATTTAGTGACTTACTTTACTCTGTTGCTTCTTTGTGCATTTTTTTATTTATTTATTTCTTTATTGTGTTTTTTTTTAAGTGTTTTGCTTGTCTTCGATCAATTCTCTCTTCTTCACCCCATTTATCCATAATTTCATCGTTCCTTTTCCCTTCGTTCTGTATTCTTCTTCTTCTTCTTCTTCTTCTTCTTCTTCTTCTTCTTCTTCTTCTTCTTCTTCTTCTTCTTCTTCGTCCTATTACTTATTCTCTAATTCG